GTCAAAGACGAACTGGATGTTGTTAGTATCTGTGGCACAGGTCTGATGACAGTAGATCTCCTTGTTTTGTGACTTATTCTTTGCTTCAAAGGAAGCTTGAATGTATATGGCCGCTTCTTCGTAAGTTTGCTTGCCTAAAAATTTGGAAGAGAAAAGAGGCGTTTGACTGAATTCTAGACAAAATCGAATGTGCTCCCATGATCCACTCCGCGACACAACGACCATAAATTAGCAAAAATAAATATGTCTTGGCAGTCACATTAAAGACGTACTCTGAGTATTTCATTAACACCACATATACGCAACCACTTCAAAACTACTGCTCTGAGTGAAAACAAAGCTAACTATACGAAAATAATCACTAACACACAACTGGGCTGATTTGATTTCCAGAAACGTCAAATTTTCGTTCAATGCATTACCTATAGAATCGGAATGAACAACATGCAACATCAAATGCACGCATTTAGTTTGCCAGTTGGGTCTTGACAATCGTGGTTTCAGATATAAAAACTAAGTAGCTCAGATTCACATGCAGGAGAAATGATGCGAAGTGCAAATTACGAATCAATAGCTTTCGAGACCAATTATCGCAAAAGTCTCGAGCCAAGGTCTAAAAAGTGGCCAAGTCCACCTAGATTTCAAGGGGAACCACCACCACCACTCTTCCAGAACGAAATTCCTCTCAGATCAATCCTTTTTTTCAATCCAACCTGAATCGTGAAAGGAAAGAAACCACTTCTATTTCAGTGACTAGAACCGAAATTTACAGGCAAATCCCACATGAGATTAAGAAAGCCGCGATAGCATTTTTTAATCAAGTGAATCGGCACATCTAAAATTCTCAAAGGCAAATAATCTGTCTATTTTAAACCGAATTGAGGAGGTGCTTAATTTAATGCGCAATGTGTTGATTATTGGAGAATGTGCACGAAAGTATCTCGAACACCTCAAAAGAAAGAGTATTTAGTGTATTGGATAGCATTATTTCGTGTAATTATAATTACGCGACACAAACGCCAGTTCAATCTGTGTTCGATCAGTATCGAGTGTTAGATAAACGCACGATTTTTTAACATTAATTCCAATCTACCTCAGGAGTTATTTTTAAATTTTCCACTAGTCTTTTGCCTAAGCAGTAAAACAACCATTCAGACTAGAAGATAAAGGCACAAGCATATGAAAATGTGCACTGGCCGGAAGCAACACTTGGTAGTTGAGGAAATAAACTGTAAAATAGACGGCCCATTTATTACACGTTCTTAAACCTCGAGATGCACTGAGTTTGGCACACACAAAAAAAACAGACAGAATTTGCCCGCTGGGTAAAAAGATACGGGTCGATATTGTTTGGCTATTATTTAAACAATTTTAACTTATAATAAGATAGAGATCGAATTTTAAGAAAAAAAGATTAATATCAGTTACAAGGGGAAAGGAAAGAAGTGTCTGAGGAGAGAGACGTTAAAATCCGTGGAAATTGAACCTTCCTACAATTGCACATGAACCTCAGACGTTAAATGGATAAACAAATTTGGGAGTTGATTTTTTCGAGGACTAAAACATGGGCTTACGCCAGCCAAAGTATATGATCGATGCTTCATATAAGTAACTTGTTAATAGTGAAATCAGGAACAGATTAGGGCTTCATCATAGTCTCTATCGAGTGGTCAGCATTAAAATAAATGTCTGGCAATCATCCCACAGATATCAGGAGTCACTCCCAGACACCCTCGAGCCTACAGTTGCGGAGAACCACTTTGGAAGGATGCAAACCACATCAAAATGCAGCTGTGCCACACCCCACCCCATTCTAATATTTCTAATTGATTCAGTGGTACATGATAGATCTACCTCCACGTAGTGCACACTGGGCAACGTATATTCATACGGCAAAAAAGTCTATTGACTGGCAGTTGACTTCTCACTTCAAACTACCATCATCTCACTCTATGCCATATTCGACTACTTCCACAGTACTCACCTCACCTTTTTTTCTACCTTTGTGTTTGTCTCTTGCATCTTTGAAACGCTCTTCTGTTCCCCCCTCTCGACTTTTTCAAATTGATGTTCCTTCCCCTCTGTGAAGTCTGAAGTCAACTAAAGGGCTAATGATAACCATCAAGACGCCTGGCATTTGATATAAATAAATAAATAAATGTTCATTCAATTTATGTTGAATATATTCAATTACAGATCATGTTTAATGTGAGCGTAAAATCAATAAATGGCATACTCGTTATACGTCGGCTTCCTCTATATCGTTGAGGTAGTTTAACTATTTCCGGGAGCTCTTCTAAACTAGCGTATTTCGCTAAAGAGAATAGCGAGGATAAGTCAAATCCGTCCACAAACTCATCATCTACGTATTTATCTTTTCACACCAACTCATGGACTGAAAAAACTTTTACCTTATTTTCAATTCCTCTAAAGTTTAATACAATTAAAAAATCATGGGAAGAATAAGGAAGTGCAACAGCGATTCTCGCTATTCAGAAAATTCTCCCATACAATTTAAGGAAGCCAAATTGCGCATTTGGTAACATTGATTACTCATAAGTTTGAAAATAAATTTGTGAAACTATTTTTTGAAAATTCGGATTCGACAATATTAATTTGAGAAAGTCAGAAGGCACTTCGGATCCGAGGAAACTAATTAAGGTGTCTCGAATGAAATAATATATCGAAAAGTAACAAGTTAGTGATTTAATTGCAGGTTCAACACTGACAATGCACTAAACTTTAATGCTGTATTCTTAACACCTGGTTAAAGGTTTCTTGAATACATTTAGTCTTGAATAATCGCATTTGAGAACTTTGTTTTAAAGCAAAATATCTGAGCTTATCTCTAACATTTCTCAAGTTTAACAATCAAAATTCTGTGAAACTTGCGTGCATTTTCTTTTTGGCGCCGATCGCAAAAGTCGCATAGCTGCGTCAAAAAAAATGATTACTATACTCTTGCAAATAAATTTTAAATGTTTGGGAAACGTTACAAGACGATACAAATTTTATTTGGACAGTAGATTTCGAAGATTTCCATCTGTCCGATGCACAGGAGTTGTATGTCCTACCGCTGAGAGGAATTTCCATTGTACTAATTTGCTAGCTTTGCACCCACAGACATTGAAACTCTCTCCCAGAATCTCTAAACTTCTTGCTCCAATTTACCGTAAGTTAAAAACTGGAGAGCAAATTTACGCATCTAACTACTTGATTCAAATCCCAGCAAATGGGGAGATTAACCCGTTGACTTAATTGGATGAAGTTTGTACTTTTAAAATGCAATAATACTTACTCTATCTTAATTAAAACTATTTTACCAGTGAAAGTAGTGACTCTTGAGTTCTTTCCACTAATAAACAAGGGAAATATCGTTTTCGAAAAATTAATAAATGTTTCAAATGGTATACAACCCTTCTTGTCACTAGAAAGCGCTAGTTAGACAATTATCGCTCAAAATAAAACCAGGGCTTGTGGGTGCCTGATAAAAATATACATATCTCCCTCTTTAGCATTTCAGGAAGACTAATCTCAGGATTAAACTCTCATCTAGCCATGGAAAGAAAAAAGCTAACTCAGCAGCTTTCTTCGGAGAAAACCCAGTGTTATGAATTAACAACGAATACTTTGCAATTGGGTTCATGTGAAGTCACTCCTCTTTTCAAAGGACTGCTTTTTAAATTAACCCGCATAAAGGGAATGTAAAGCTTTGCCATATTACAGTACAATTTATTAATTGAACTGCTAAACCGGTATGATTAAAATCTATTAACTAGAGGTTCGTGAAATCTTTATGTATTTATAAACTCAGAATTCCTTAGAAGGCATAAATAAAGATATTAGTTTCTGACATTACTAAAATACCTTGCTATTTTTATTCATAAAATATGCATTAACTGATTTATTTTGATAGACGAATTTCTTTTTGAGCTTGAGAGGTATCGTTCCTCAATATACTTACATCCCAAATTT